CATTTTCTAGCTTGCACTGTTACTTGTGACACTGCCTGCATATATCTTTATTTCTCAGCAGTTCAGGTTTATTTTTCATCTTCAGAATTATAGAAAGGGGAGACTGGTGAGTCCCAGCTTTATTTCTTCTGATACTAGGATTCCTCTGAACTTGCCTAAGCAATAGTTTCAACTAATTAATACACAGATCCTTCTAGCTTTTCCAACTCTAAGGTTTGCAGCAAAGCTTCTTCCTTACATAGTTTGTGGATGCCAACAGCCTGTGCTGCCTGTTTTGAAAAGATGACTGAACAGACTTGACTTTGAAGGGAAAAGACACGTTAAGAATAGGAAGAAGGTGAGTTTTCTTACTGCCCATTGTAGGAAAATGGAACATGTTGCAGAGGCCTTGATTTTCGTGTGAATGTTGCTACTGACACAACCTGCTCTAGACTTCAAACTACAGGTTGGCACAACGCAGCACACACTTCTTCCAATCCAGACAGACTAGAACAATTTTTTTGCACCAATATTAAGAACTTTATAACTATGCAAAATCAGCACCAATGGTTGGATTAATATTTTAATAATTACACACTTTTTACATTATGAAAATAAATCATAAATAGTGTAAAAATAATTCTGAAGATCAACTTCTCACAAGCAAGAAACAAAACCTCAAGTACAAAACTGAAAGAAAACAAAACAAAATTCAACTGAAAAACAAGGAGAAATTTTAATAATAAAAACAAAAGCATGCTGTTTGATTGGGTTCAATTAAGTCAAGACCAGAGGCCACAAGAAAGTGGTAATTAATATCAAATTAAAATGGGTGATTAAAACCTTGCAATTCTTTATACTACTCCTCAAAAGAGGTCTTGTGACATATTTACAGTGCTAAGACACTCAAAATATTTATAGCATTGATAATATGATGCTGACCCATGTGGTTTTTACCCCCAAGCATTGGAATCCTTGCCAAATTACTTTTCTTTGTATTTTTATCTCTTCTACTTCATTTATGAGACCATTTGCAATACAAAAATAACGGCACATATAGATGAACTTAAAAAAGTAAAAAATACAAATAAAAATATATAATATTTTCCAAAGGAAAAAGTCAGATACATACATCTTAGCAACATTTTTAAAGTTGTGTGATATTTTCCCAAACATGTACAATAATATAAGAATATCCACATATATGTTAACAATATGTAAAACATTCTCCCACCAACCCAACTCTCCATAATACTTCAGAGAAGTGTGCAAGTACCAATGGGATCTGGGAAATTCATACAATTTCTTTTTTAAATAGAAACAAGTAAAACACTAACGGTCCCAGGTTAAGGCCCCCTGCTTTACAAAGAAAATTCAATTTGTGAGCAGCATTGATAATCAGATGCATTTAAAACCAAAACGAAACAAAAGCAACACTCCAAATCCCTTTTTAAAATAAAAACTCCACTTGTTCTGTAGAGTATCTTTCTCAGATATGATGGTGGCAGGCACTTGTTTTTAACAGCATTTAATGAATCCAACCACCATGTAAAATTCTTCAATAAGGGTAAATATTGGGTGCAAGAAAACCTTCATTTGTACATTACAACAACATTCACATCCACAAAAGCAAATTGCAGGAAGGAAAAAAGAATAAAAAATTAGGTGTTAGTTTTAATTCCAGTCATTGAAATAGAATTTTTACAATGACTAAAAATTATACTTTATTTTGACCAGTATCTTTGCAGATATCACTATTTTAGGTGAGTCTTTAGTGTGAAAATTTAGCAATCTCATTCGGTAAAATACAGAGCTTTAAAAATGTAATTCAAGATGGTCAAGCAGCAGAAATCAGGAAATTTGAAGGGAAAGGTCAACTTCTGCATGCCTTGAACATCTTCAACACATTCAGTAGACTGGAAATATCTCTGGACTTCTTACTGAAGTGGTCCTGATTTAGGCAAAACCCATTCCTGAAGTTGATAATATTCCCCTTGTTACTAAGCATAATACCTGCGTCCTTTCTTCTGCACGCCTCAAAGAGCTTTGCAAGGGGAGGTTGCATCACTCTCCACAGCTCATTGCTGGGGATAGAGAGGCACAGCCAAGAGAAAAGCCTTGCATGGCTGAGCCCAGGTTTACAAACCCAGTTCTGGGGCAGTCAGTGGGACAACTCTCTCTAAACCCCAACCAGATCCAGGACCTAAGTGTGTTTCCTGGTGCAGCCCCCAGCCTTACACAGCACCACCCTCCCACAAGGACCAAAGGTCTGCCCATCTCATATGGGGTTGCTTCTCTCTTTTGCTGGCATAACCAAGTAACTGGTGGTCACATGCACCCCTTCCATGAGGTAATGCTCAATGGAGCCAATGCTAAGTTTCCACACTGTACATCAGTCCTTTTTATACTCTATACTTAACACATGTGCAGGTATATGCATTTGATCATTCTGAAACTCAATCATATTACTTACATTGTAGACTAAAAGAATATATAAACAGCTGGATGAAGAGTTTCTGCTTTGCTACACTATCAGAATATGACATCAAGATCAGCAATAAATAAAAATATAAATCAAAAAACCCACAAAACCCAAAACATTGTATCATTGCTCTGCGATTTAACATTTCATGCTTTACTCAGGAAAAAAAAAGGTGTCCAAAACATCCTGAAAGAAAGCTTCCCCATAGCTAATCTATGAATATGAAAACAAGGACCACGTATGTCAGACATATTCCATACAGTGCTTAAAAGAAGTCTGGCTTCTGTAGCTGGACTTCTGCACAATGTGGTTATAATGCACTGGAGTAACAGGCGATTACAAAACTTTGTATGAAACAAATACTGAAAACTCCCAAAGAAACAAGAATTAATTATACCTGAAAAAGTCAGGGATATATGTAGACTAATACCACTACACATTTCTACAACTGAAAAGACTGATAGAAGAACTATTGTTCCTGTAACAAACTAAACAAATCATATCTATTTGGAGGAATGCCACTAAAAGATATAACAACACATTGGTGGTTCAAACTATAGCTTTACCATCATAAGGAAAAAGATATATTAGCACCAGAAATAGTTGCTTTTTAAACAAAATAAACATGTTTCAAGTCTTCACAAGGTGTTTTTCTTGATGAAATGTTAAACCCAATTCTTTTTTTTACTTTTACTGACCATGCAACTTTTCTAGATATGGTTAAGTTTCACATCAATTCAATCTGAGATGCAAATATTAATGTCAAATCTATGTATGTAGTTTAACCTTTCAAATTAAGTTGTTTATCTGCTGTTCCTTCATGGTCATTTAAATGGAATGAACCTTTCATGATACTGAACAATAAAAAATCTGAAAAAGTTAAGTAAGATTACTTGGGAAAAACAAAAAGTAAATACCTGGAGGGAATTTAATAAAGAAATTAGATTAATTTACAAGAGAAAAAAGAAAGTGAACAAAGATGCTTAAATGTTTCTTCAGTAGGGTCTCAGTGTCAGGGAGTTAAAGGAGAGTTGAGTATTGACTAACACTTAACAGTAGCGTTTATAATTATTTCCTGAATGACAAAATCATGAACCAAGGTTTTGCTAGCTTTATTGATGCATATAGAAATGGATGCTATGAGGGCAGTTTAAAAATATAGGTATACAAACTAAAAAAAAACCAAAGTGCTAATGGCAGCATGCATTTAATAGTTTTTTATCTTGTTGCTATTTCTTAAATGAGTTGTGTTTGTGGACACTCTCAATATGCAGTTGCTAAAACATTCAGCCAGATAATAAACATTCTACTTGATTTTGCATGTATATACTCTGAAGGACCTTTAAAAAATATTTAATTTTACTCTATGATTGCCAGTATTTGATATCTTAAAAAAATATTCAAATTCTAGTCTTCACATCTACAATATACCTAGCTAAATGTGCCAAGTCAGGATATGGGCATAAGAGACTCTTCTCTGTTAGGTGGACAGCTGGCTCCTCAGCCTGTTGTTTTTCTGAGATAGTGGTTCTTAAGCAGACTAAAAGGGGCAAGTCAGAGGACTTACACGGTGCTCCTCTTGTCCTCTTTCTGAAAGGCCCTCATTTGCATTTAGTGCTATAGCACTCTGATTATTAACATTTTATATTCAGACTATGCTGTGTGAAGGCTTTTACTATTGTAATCATGACTATTCAGAGAGGTTAATATTTGCATCTCTGAAAATTCAGGAAAAGAAAAACATATTATCTTACATCTGTGAACACTTGTTTATTTCTTACTATTGGAAAGATGGAATTGAGTGGCAAATATATATGTATTCAGTGTATATATCTATATAGTGTCAGAATTTTGTTTTTATTAGTAAGACACTACTAGTTGTAGACCGCCAAATTAATTTTTAAGTTTTAAAAATCTGGTTTTTCCCCAATGAAATGCTAGGTTTGACTTCAATACACCAAAATGACAGTAAAGATTCATCAAGGTGGAAGGTTGCATTATAGTGGCATTTCCATTGATCTGAGACTGTGAAGCAATACAAAAAGCGTGACCACAGAAGGTCTCCCCATCTACACATGATTTAGAAATGATGGAGCAAGGAAAAATGTGCATTCCAAGAAGGGCATAAGGTGCCCACACATGAACGGAGACAGGCTGTCTTCCTCAACTTTGGTTTTGGTCTACATATGAAAGACAACTCTCAGAAAAGTAACTAAAAAAGTTTTTGATGATCCTGCTATATACATTAGGAACAGAAGTGACATAAAAAGAATTTCCATCTGCCAAATATGGCACCATTTCTCATAAACCAGTCCCTCAAACTAACTTCAGTGCACCATATGAAGACTCAAAACTGGAAAAAATACCTCATGGCAAAATTAAAAATGTGCATGAATTATGTATTTCTAGCAATAAAAAAGGGGAGAAGGAAAGATTTACCAATGTTTCTCTAGAAAGCTAGTCATCTGAACAGAAATGGAGAAATATTAACACCTATAACAGTGTAGTGCGACAAGTGTGCAGTGGTAATTACACAGAATTGTTTCTCTCCAATGTTTTTTGAGTAATAATGTCCGCTAAAGTCACTGTAACAACATAAAAGGAACAAGATTAACAAATCAGTCTGTGAAACACAAAAATAAACTCTTTCTTTTCTAGACTTAAAGGCTTCAAAGACTTTGAAATAGAAACTGCTAATACTGAAACAAGATGAGTATGTGGCTTGAAGTATTTTCCTCAATGCCATCATCACAAATGTTGAATAGATTATTGAAATGCATTCTTTATGGCAACAGTTACAGGAAAGGAAACAAAATTAACCATAGCTTCCAAAATCCTGCAGAAAAGTTCAGCTAGTTTTGTGTAATTTAAAGTGAATAACCTGAAAACCACACCATGGTACATACATCTATGGTCAGTTCCATTATAATCCTCCTCTGGAGGATGATCCAATTCATCCCCACCTCAAGAATGCTTTTTCCTCCAGCAGTCCCAAAATACAATATGCAGAGCACATACTCTGTCCATCCTTGAGTAAGGTTGAGAAGCTTCTGGTCTCAGGCGGTGTCTGCCATCAAATGATCCCTGCAGCACCTCTGCAACCTTTTCAAACAACCCACAGAGAAGTCTGGTTTCTTCAAACTTCTTTCCTTCTTGATTGAGGACTCGACAGGGCCTATCGTGAATATCTTCACGACCGTGAGCAGTGCAAGGCAAACTGATGCTGATAAACAGGCGCGACCCTCTTTGATCAAAGGGGCCAAGTATCCCGCAAGACTGGAAGCCATCCACCTGCAGCTGGAACTCTATTCCCCAAAAATTCAAGGCCTCTTTCTATGCTCCTCTGGTTTATCTCTTTTTAGCAATGAGCCATGGTGTGACTCCCTTGAGATGACAAAAGGAAATTATTCAGAAGCTGGAATCAAAGGTCACCGTGAGCAGCCATTTAGCGCGTGACGTGATCACACAACAAGCAGGTTTGGCACACGAACTCATGCTTTTAGTTCATACAAGCAGATATGGTGTCATGAATCAGTGAAGTATTTAAGATGGACACGGAAACCAAGTCAATAAACTCCAATGGCAGCTGGTACAGTACATATAGAATTTTGCTCTTATTTGGTCACAATTTCTTGTAAACTAGTTCATGGCACTCATTGTCCATGCATATCCACAAGCCAAAATATAAGAATTTACAGAAATATTAATTTCTATTATTGATCGTTGTTTTGATATCTCTCATTAGAGAGACAATCTTTGCAGGTTTACCCTGCAGTATCACCTAACTGCAGATGTAAGTGAAAAAGTACGTATGGACTATTGCAAACAAGTAGAAGCAGCTACATGTAAACATATCTCAGACTTGTAAAACCAAATTTTCAGTTTTCAACTATAAATAAAAGAAGTGGAGCGCTATATACACAACTTCATGCTTGTAAGGTTAGATTCATCACTGCAGAGACAAAAAGAAAGACAGATTAATCCAATTAGTAAGATATTTCAGACATCTATTACAAATACACAGATAAGGCAGAGTTGCAAATATGGATAGTTATTTCCTCAGCACCAGTTATTCTTCAGAGATAAACGCACCTAGGATTTCACTCATGCTTAATGCTTTTTAAGACATTATATGCCAGTATCTCTCCACCTACATAATTCTGTATGCTATGTTTTTAAATTCAGAACTGCCTTGGTTAAACCTTTACTAAAATAATCTTGCCAGTTAATATTAATGTTAAAGGAGGATATATTGAAGACCAGAAAGGTAAGGCAAAGAGAAGGGTAGATTACACTGTTCCTCTCAGTATTCCAGAAGAATAACATAATAAGAGATCAATATAAATATTTGACAAAAAATCCATGAGCTTTTATAACGAATTGGAAGCAGTGATAATGTGCAGAAACTAAAGGATGTGTAAGTCTTCATGTGAAAAAAAGAAAAGTCTTGGACTTTCCAGAAAACAAATGCCAACTGTTCCTACAATACTGCCTCAATGAATTAGTACTTCTACATATATTACAATATTATCACATGAACTACTGCCTGATCTTGCAGCAGGTAGGGAGGTCTGCTCTTGCATTGCTGGATATGTCTGTCTAGGAGGTTTTGAAGTATATCTTGATATTGTTCAGTATGACTGTGACAGGCATTTCTGTGTGCTAAGGACATACTACTCCTGAAAAGAAAAAGCTCTACCCATCCTACCTTTTGCCAACAGCCAGGCATTGGTAATCCATCGGGACCCTGTTTTAAGGGGAGGCAAAAAAAAAAGAGTATAGTTAAGTTTGAGAGGATAGATAATCCATCAGCATCTGTTAAAACAGCCAGAGGACAGAAGGTTTACGCTGCAAAAACATACGTGCACCTCTCTGCTATAAAGATATGTTTTTCTCTAAATCATTAGAACATCTTCATTATTTTCTTATCGCTGTTAGAGCTCAGGCTGCTTATTATTTTAAATATAATCTGTTTTATTCACAACAATCTCTATCTGAATGTACAAGATCAATGAGAAAAAAAATACTATCACTTTTATCTGGAGGGTATTGTGCTTTAAAGGCCTCTAGTACAAAGGTAATCCTGTGATAAGACAGCAAGACTCAAATGTGCGTAGGATCTTTTCTTTTCACTTTCAATATTAGCTTTTGAATGAAGTAGCAAAATCTTAAGGCCTGAACATACCTTAAGTGCCACAGTGGAAGAAAACATCTGTGGTGGGAGCAGGGCAGTCCAGCAGCACTGTATATTTCAGTGCTTGGACAATATGGTAATTTAATTTCTTCTCATGTGAGAGTCACTCCATTTCTTTTCTTTTGCTACTCTACCTTCACATATCTCCATGTGTCCAGTAAGATCAGGGTCAGCTATTGACCACAGTCACACTGGTTTTCCAGGTCCTAATTCCAACTTAGAAGGCTATCCAGGTTTTACCCAGAGAGTTATATGGTCAGAATTAGGAGCACATATGATGTAACTAGACTATATATGAGCAGAAAAAAGATCAGGCCTTGACATTTTTTAGAATATAGAATACAAATACTTTATATGTGAATTTACATGTGAAGATAGTGGTTATTGAGGATTTTTTTAATTGCTTGCACATAGTCTGATGGAAGTGGCTTGCTGCCTAAACAAGAGAGTGCTGCTTGCTAAGCAGCTTATTCTAGCAATTACCTATGAACAGAATATTTTTCATCCATCAATGATTGTTAGTGAATCTCCAGATATAAATGATAATACAGAGACAGAGAAATATTTTAAAATTACAAAAGCATGCTTGATTATTCCCAACAAAATATGAGATATGGTTACCATTATTTGGAAGCAAACAATATGGACTATGGAATAATTTTAAAGGACTATGCATTTATGATTAAAAAGAACTGATTTCAAATTAGAAGTGCTACAGTTGAAATAAAATCTATTTAATGTAACATTCATCATAGAGAACCGTGCTTAACCACCAAACAATATCAGAACATGCAGATCAAATTTTACTATGAACAATTAAAAAGAAAATCTTCCTTGTATCTTTATGAAATGTGTATGTACTATCCATTTGGGGTTTTCTTTCTTAAATGGAAAAGAGTTCAAACTTACTTTACCATTGAATAAAAATCACTGTTGCCAGATTGGTACAAGGGAGAGGGTCAAGAAGTAGCATTTTAGTATAGGTGGGAACTTGAATTCATGCTAACATAGGGTGGGGAGTGTTGTGTGTATTCCAGGAAGGTAAGTTCCAAGGGTAGGACCATTAAATTGGAGACATTAAATAACAGAGACAGGGTTTGGGCTGCAGACTGTTATCTTCTTACAAACCTCAGGTAAAGCTTTTTATTTCCAGATATGTTTGAATACTGTTTGATGTACAGGCCAGACACCAAAAATATTACTTGTGTATGGTCTGGAAGCCAAGTTCCAGCATGGCTTACTGAAAACCTTGATTTTCAGAAACGGTATTTACATAATTCTGTACATGACTCTCACTTTGGTCAAATTGTGAAAACATGCACCTAAGACTGCGGGGATTTGAAAGGAAGTCCAGGGTGCAGAGTAGCTCTAGGACAGACTAGAGTGCAGAACTGAGCCAATGCAGACAAAGGGCATCAGACTTAATTAGAAGTGAACATTGTGCTGGATTTCCACAATGACTTGCGTTCAGGGTGAGTAAGGCAATAGGTATTTTGTGAGGAAAATAACAAACCAACAATTCTCAGGGAAAATGTAGGAAGGATACAAACTTATAAATTACTATGTGATCTGGGAGCAAACTGCTGAAAGTTAGGTTTAAGGTACCAACAGAAATGTGTGTTCTCTCATTGCGGTTATGATCACTTGAAGCAGCTGGTTTGTTCATGCACATGCATGTGTTATGTGAATAATGTAAAGTCAGCTCAGAAAAACATTACTTTACATTAAGAATGGCTGACCACAAACAAAGGAACTGCATGCAGGGTTGGTAGGAAAGAGAAATACTGTACCAATTGGCAAGGGGCATCCAGCCCATCCAGGCCAGGTTGGCCTGGCTCCCCTTTTTCCCCCTTAATTCCACGGAATCCCTGTTGTAAAGATTAACTTGCAATGTTACTGTCAAGGAAATGCCTTCAGTATTGACTTAAATGGAGTGAACAAATAACAACAGAGAGGCAAGAGGAGCAAGCTGACTGTCGTAGTGTGATTTAAACCTGTGGGGCACTGACTTTGGCACATTCCAAATTTGGTTCCTTTTCAAACAGTTTGGCAGAAATAATGAAAAAAAAACACCACCAAACCTCACAAATTTAGCCCAAAGATCTTAAGTCTGGTGCTTTAAACCAATTTAGGACGTTGACAAATGGAGTCTGCTCCAGAATTTTCAGAACTTGAGATAAAGCTGTGTTAACAAAGGGCTACATGTTCAACAGTAGCTGGTGCTTGTTCCTCTTTCCTCATTTCTTATTCCATCAGTTTACAGCAGGACGATCGATCTTCCAATATATAAGTGAGACGTACCAATGGGCAAGGTGCATCTAATCCAGGAGCACCCTGTTCTCCTTTCTCCCCTTTAGGCCCCTTTTTGCCTTTCTTTCCCTTTTCCCCCTGTGGATACAATGGTTTGGATAAAACAAGTTTCATTCTTTTGAAAAAAAATTAAAGAAAGATTGGTTTTAAAGTTTGGGTTTTTTCTTTTTAAGCCAATGGAGAGCTGAAAGGACACTTACCACTGTGTTCTGGTTTGGGTGGTGCATTATGTGGAAAAATAAATTATATGATCACAAGCAAGAACTGCAATCAATCGGTATTAGTTTGTGCTGGTATTTCATATCAGTATTATGAATGTTTTGAAACCTAGAACAGGGCTTGAAAAAATTGATTTCTTGAGACAGAGGCAAATCTGCAAAATCCCCCAATCCACAGTCCAAAAGAAGATGTCTCCTATTTGGTCTAAGTGATAGCTCTGAAGTGCACATGCACACAAAACCTGAATTTGTTAGCTTCCCTAGAGAATTTGCCACTAGTCAGAAGGAACTTTGTGAGAGCAGAATCCATCAGCACAGTCTTTTGAAAAAAGACCTGTGGCACAGCTGCTTCACAGGGATGGCTAGTCTCTGACTCAGTTCCATGGTGTCATGTCAAGGGTGAACTTGGCCCAGAGCATCCTTTGCTGAACTGACCTTTTGCACTCTGGTAACAGTGTTTGGAACAAATCCTGTTCTCCATGGTGTCCACAGAAACCCAGTGACGTCACTGAGGGTGCACTCCTGTCACTCCAAATATAACATGACCATTTCAAACCCTGCTACAGGAATCAAAACACCCAAACTGCTTGATGGAGAGGTGCTATGACACTTTCAATGATTTCATATTGTCTTGGTATCAGAAAGTAATCAGAAGTGATAATTATTCTTTATTTAAATATTTCAACATCCAAATATTCCCTCTTCTGCAGGCAATGTTTCATCTACTTATTTTAACAAAATTCAGTCCTTTGATTTCACACTGAGTTTTCTTTTTAAATGTGAAACTTCCAATGCTTTAATTCTGATGGAAATGATTGATTACCCTCAGCAAAGCTACCTGCAAAGATGACCTCACCTTCAAGCAGTATAAGATGTTTAAAGTTCATTTTATAATTGATTTCACACCAGTTGATCACAATGGTAAATGAGTTTCAGGTTTGCTCTCAATTTCACAAAAATCAAAAAGGATCAGTTAAAAAAATTAACAAATTGGGCTAGGATTGTAAAAAATGGGATAGGAAGGATGAGTAAACCAGGAATATCACAAAGAAATGGGAAAAATAGTCATAGGAAAATTAGTATGACATTGGAGAACCAGCAAGTGAGGTTGTGGCTATTGGGAGGATTTCATTGGTGAGGAAAAGGGTAAAAAAGACAGAGGAATTGTAAGGAATGAGGGTAGAAGGAGAAGGAAGGAATGCCCCTTTGGAAGAACAGACAGATTTAGGCGAAGCATAGTAAACAGACATTTAACTTGGTCCACACCAGTACAGAAAGACTTAATCTATTAACAAGAGATAAAACCCATTTTTACACATTAAAAATAATTATATAAATCAGATTTTAAAAAGGAAGGAAAGCACATTAGTCATTTAATATCATAACATATTTGACATAATTAAATGGAAAAAACTGTTTCATGAACAACACATACTGCATTCATGTCATAATAGAAGTGAAGTTACTTGTCTATCTTTTCTGTGTGCCAAAAAGTCACAGGATAATATTTGGGAAAATAGCAACCCAAACATTACCCTTCTTTATCAAATGATAAGATTATGATGTAAAAGAAATCTTCACGAGACAAGAACTGTAAATTTGCTAAGTTTCCATCTTAAACCCAGACAGACAGCAGTGTAGCAGAGAAACCCAACAGTTTCAAGGTCAGTTCTCATGTTTTTTGTTCTCAGTGTAACACCAATATATTTACAGTGAATGTATGCAAGCACAAAGCATGGACATACTCCAAAAAGGATTCTGAAAATGGACTGTACAGTTTGGTTTCTGACTCTTTCTCTATTCTTTAAGATTTGCATTTCTTTAACTTGTTGTGTTACAAGCCAGCAGATATCTATTTAAACTTCCAGTTTTGCAGGACAGATCTATGATCTTATTCAAAGCAACGCAGTAGTCATCTGTGCAGACAATAGTCTGAATTTCCTGAGTACTTTACTACTTTTTCCATAAGACTGAGTTATTTCTTTTTAATCTTTACTCCTTGTCCTCAAGTACAGAGGTCCACAGGAGATATGGAAAATCTACATCTGATGAAGATAAAAAAAAAATTCCTTTCTGCTCTTCCTCAGTGCCTAGAGAAATACAAAGTTGTGGCACTTCTGCAACACAGCTCTGGTTGAAACAACCTCCAATCCTCACGTGCACATATTTTCATCAATGCAGAGTGTAGGGGAAAAGGATAATGCCTTTTCATTCTCTGTTCAGACACATCATACTCTTCTGTCAAAATTTATAACAACAGACACAACTGTGCATTTGGGACCAAGGGCCCCTTCCCTCCCTCTCCCTACAACACAAATCCTAACTTTCATTAAAAGTTATTCCTTTTTAAAAGAATTTTTTTCTATCCATACAACGAAAATACAAAATCAATTGTACAAATCTTTTTCGTGATGAGTGCTCCTGGACTATAATTTTATATGAGTAATCACATTGCCAAAAATAAAAATTCAAACAGCTCCTGTCTTATCCATTTGGTGTGGGACAAGCAGCATGTACAGGCATGGTACACTAGGATAAACTGCCAGGGAACAGAGCTGGGCTCTTCAGTATAAAATTACTAACAGAATGACTAATGTCATTCTGATGAAATATTTTAGGATTTTCAACAAGAGTAGGATGGATTGGAGAAAATGTGCCTAAAATAAAAAGCTGTACTTCGGGACATGTGGATATTACTATTTCTGTGCATACATTTTTGTGGTTTTTCATGATTTTGCTTAGAATGTATCTGTGACCGGCCTTTTGGCACACAGTAAAAACAAAAATAAGTTTTAATGGGACAATTTAGAGCATAAAGACAGCAGAACTGACTAGGCTGGGGAATCAAGCAACAGTTAATAACACTGTGGTCACCTTTTCTCCCTTTTCTCCTATATCACCCTTTTCTCCTCGAGGACCAGGGAAACCCTATGAAAACAAAACGGACAAAGACAGGTTCATTTTCATTCACATGCAGGTTAAGTTTTCAAACACTCTTGGAAAGCATAAAAAGATTATTTCACTACATGCTGTGTATATGTATGTGTGGACACATACATAGACACGAGCATGAGAGACAAGTAACTCCAAGAGTTTGGTAGAGGCAATTTGCCAGCTACAGAAAGAAATCATACCACTCAAAATGGCAACAGTCCATGCTAGCATATGTATGTTCTGAAAAAGACTCCTTCGAGTTAGGGATTTCAGCACAGAACTAGAGGAAAAGGCTTACTGAAAGCCTTTTTTAGCATGCCAAAGAAAGAGATTATGCCTTGAAATGTATCCATTACAGGTTATGGAATTATTATTCTCTTTAATTAGAATAAATGTACTTAACTGAGTGTCAGCGACTCCTTGTTCTTCTACAAATGAGTCACAAGCCTGAATATTTTCTTAGCAAGCACAGTTTTTCAGCGTACTGACATCCAAACAACCAGCTACTTATATTACTAAGCACCACATCTGGTGGTGTCTGTCGATAAGGGCTGTATATCACACAATCTTTGTCCTCTTTTATCATAGAGAAAGAGCAAATGAGGCATTTAGCACACTCTCTGTATGTACTGCATGCACACTAAATGGAAACAAAGGTGTTATGCTCCATAAGCTATTTCTTGGAAGACGCTTACCGACCATTGAGAGCGCACTGGTCACAGATATTACTTACGTCAAGGCCAGGCTCGCCATCTTTGCCCTGCCAAAGAACCACACAAACTGCATTAGCATCCTAATCCATGGCACCGACAGCCGGCTTGAGACCCAGCTTCTGTGCCCCCTCTGCACAGCGAGACCCCACGTTGCTGAGGCTGCACACACAGTGAAGGACGCTGCAGTCAGTGTTTAACTTCCAGGAACTGACAACTTGACTGTAAAATTTTGCTTGACAGTAATATTTTGTTTGTAGGCAGATTCCAGGACTAATCTAAAAATACAGAAAAGTCTATAATTTTTTAATTTTATTTTTAGTTCACAGGAAGGGGAAACAGAAATTGTATTTTTTTTTTTTCCAATTTAACTCACAGAAGTGACCCTCGGATAAAAATGCATGGCAAGCTAATTTAACACTTCATGGAGCCTGAAAACTGTCTCTAGTAACTGACTCCTGATCCAATTAAATGGATCTAATTAAACCATAGGTCTGTATTCCAGCTTAAATTAATTAATCAAGAAGATTAGACTGGAGAACATATGGAAACATTGCAAGTCTCTTGGAAAGGCTGGTTGTTCCTGGCCAAGCATATTTATATGGCTTCTCTTGCATGAAAGTACAGAAAAGACATACGTACATGTACACACCTGACCCAGTCATTAGCAGTGTAAACACAGTAAGTCAATTGATTTTATTGGGGATATCCTTGTTAGGCCAAAGGAAGTTCCCTCTCATATTTTAGAAATGGATAATATAATTTAAACGGTTGATTTAAAGCATACCACTTCCACCTACAAATGGGCCACAATGAATTTCTCATACTGCTTCTGGCACAGAAATTAAAACAAAACAGGTCTCTGAAGTGTCAAACAAAATGGAAATATAACGGTGAAGTAGCCTTGCAGTACGGAAATCCAAGCAGCTTACTGACATTAAGAAATTCACATCTTTCCTCAGTTCATCCTGAACTCCTGGCACTCTCACATGATCCCTGGGCAGCTGATGTACACAAGTTGCTGAAACAGGAGTACATGCATTCTGGATTTCCTCTCTCTTTCCGATTCATGTCAGATCTGTTTCGTTACGTGCATGGGTAGGAATCTAAGTCTGTGATACAGACCATTGACCTTGCACTGTCAGGGTTTATTATCTATCTTCACCTATTCCAACTAATTCTATTGCTAGGTGAAAAGCAGCCATAAAGCACAGAAAGTTTAATCAAGGACTGATGAAAAGTGCAGTGTGTACAAACTCTGTGCAACTTACAGGCAAGCCGTACGGTCCTCTGGGTCCAGGGTCACCTACAGTCCCCTTTTCACCCTAAGAAAAGGTTACACAACAAGCAAACAAAACCATTGTCGATCTTAGAAATTATCTCTACTGAGTGCTTTAGGTTAAAGTTTATACATTCCTAAATATTTTGAGTGAAAAATATCCAAACTCATTTATTTTTATTAAATGCTTAAGGTGCAAAGAGAGGGTGTGTATTACTTTCTAGGCAAAATAGCTTTTAAGGTGTATGATATCTACATTCATTTTTAAATACATTAGTAACTGAAAATATTTTTCAAACCGAACTTGCACCAATGTCAATTTTAAGTTTGTAACAGCTGCAACATTGCTCTCAGTAAAAATCTGATGTTGTAATGAAAACTAAGGATATACAGCATCAAGCATCAACAGAGCAGCTGAGATGTGACATAGTGACAGGTAAAAATAATGTGTCAGTCAAAGCTTGTATTTAAGTAGGCAATACTATTAACAGTGACATTGTGAAGATTATCCTATGCACTGTACTGTGTTTCTAAATGCTCTACTGAATTCTAGATTAGTGATGTAAATACCCTGGTTTATTATATCAAAACTATATTAATGTGGAAGACGAACAAGTAAGTACAGAGATGACTCCAGAAGTTTGATCTCATTCTGCACTAAAATCCATGGAAAACTTACCACCAAAATAATTTTGTAAGCTTAATATAGGGCAAACTTTTCCAAATGAAGTGAGATTTCAAGATGATAAATTTCAGGCTGACAGTAGTAATCACCTTTGCTCTCTGATTTTTCTTTGTCAAGATTGTCATGAAGTCAAACTTCCCAAGTCAGCAGCATTACCCAGGTAACTTCAAGCACAGATCCCTGTGAGCCTGTTAGGGAGTCAGGGCTGATACGTAGGTGTGGGCAGCAGTCTTGTTTCAGACTGTGGTGTTCTTTTTTCTGAATAAAATCCATCAGGAAAGCCATACTCTCTCTTGAGAATTAAACTGCTCCAAGTGTTGATAAAATAAGAAAAAAAAAATCCTCACCACCTCGAGTTTTCAAAGCTCCTACTCTGTTTTTGTTAAGCAGGATCCCTTCTTCAATCCCTTTCCTGAACCTAACCTAATGCAAGGCTTCGTGCAAGGCTCCTGGCATGCGGAAGTGCTGTATTTCATCCTAGCACTTGCTGCATTATGCCCTCGAGATAATTCTCTGTAAATAATCCTCTGGGTTATTTACTAATTATTATTAATTAATTAATGAGTCTATTATTAAGAGCACAAGACATAGATGTAGATGTGTACCTAATTAATAGTGGTGATCATCGGCACAGCTAAGTCCTTGGCACAGTTCTGAAAATGAGCTGCTGAGTCTAAATTTCATTGACTGAATTATACAAAAAAGCAGGTACCAGAAAAAAATTAATCTGAACCTGTGGTTGAATCATCACAGCAATAAGGAGTTTGTCAAAGTAACTGAGATTTGACCTGTTTTAAATACTTCATATTTTATTTAGGTGGACACTTACTTTAGTCTAGTCGTGATTAGATGTGCAATGTCCGATCTTTCTGGATTCTATTATTCCCCAGCTATTTCTGAGCAACACTTAGGCTGGATGCCCTTGCAGAACAATAGGAGGTATTGGGAAGTAACAGCTCATTTTCAAAACAACAAATTCCTTGCAGCTTTAAAGCTTTCTGCTAAGAAGAAAATAATGTGCTGACCTATGTATGTAACAGCTACAAAACTTTTTGATGAATACTTGAAATATGTCAAGACTAGTTAAGTATCTTTTTTTTAAAAAATCTCCAACAGCAAAGATGACTGCACAAAGTCCTCAAGATAGGCTTATAAAGTTGCTAAACATATGGTAGACATAAAGATACTGAATGTATCAGTCTAGGAAATAATCTCATCTGTTATGTAAGAATATATTTGGAGAAGTGTAACTCAGAATTTTTTGCCTCCAACACAAAGCACATGATGAAATGTGTCTGGAATATTAGATGAGGTCTTGAATGTTTATGGATTATATAAGATTGATGGACTGTCATGAGTATATTGCCCTCAATCATACTGATAAAGCATTTCCTCCAGAGAAGCAGATATTTGTAAACTTCAAGAAGGTTTTTAATATTTTTTGTAAGACAATCCATCGGTGTCCAAAGAATAGAAACCATAGTATATGTTTTTGCCTCCTATTTCACTTCTGTCTCCTGAATCACGGATGAATATGAATTACCATTTGTATGATTAAAGCTGAATAATTAGTGTCTCCTTTAAGATAGATAGGGAGATTTTATAACACTGCCGTAGTGAGAAACATTTTAACCAAATTAAAGAGCATGCACCTTCCTTACTAGTACAAAACGTGTAGTGATAAAAGTGTTGCACAGGCTACACATCTGAAAGCCAAAATCAAGCTCAAAAACAGGTCTTTGACATCAAGGAAAAAAATAAAATAAAAAAAAAAGGAAAATAGGGAAACGTGCATTTCCAGCTTTCAGATCCTTTAGATGGTCAAGAAGTTGGACACACACTATGTCTGTCATTACCATTCAGGCTTAAATGTCCCCTTTCAGCAGTAATAGTTTAAGATGTCTATCTGTTTTCCAGTGCTCGCTATTTTCTCTCAAGATGGTATATAAACAAGATTAATCACTACACAGATTAAGAGGACTATTATGATCAATTCCTCCATTTAATAAAGATGGTCTCAGTAAAATCTCCCTAAGCACCTAGCAAAATGGTATTTCCAATAGCTGAAGAATTTAATAAGGACTGTAAGACACCAGCCTAATAAATTATGTTAATTCACAGTATTAATTACCATTTTGGTCTACTAAAAGAAATGCAGAAAATCACATTATAGTGTCATGCATGACTTTCTTAGTCTACCTTCTCACCATCTAAACAAATTTTGTATAAAGATGATATGATGTTTTCTATTTTAATTAAATAGCTAAATTGAAAACCAACCAATCCACTCTAATTTGCACAACAGCCTGTTCTACTTCAGAGTAGTGCCTTGAATGCAGCTTGTCCAACAATGAATCCATGATTATTCTGTAGAATAACCCTAATGCCCAAGGTTTTTCCTGTCAGCACAAAAAAATGCGGTCCTAATCCAGCACTAGTGAGCAGTGGCACTATGCACTATTTTTAATTGAAAAGTAAAGTCTGAAATCTGCAGGCAAAAATGTTTTCCTCCTGCTTTCACATAAACAAGTTCAAGAGTTGCAAATGCAAGTTGTAAAATTCTGTTGAAAACACATCATTTGTTATTTAGGTAACAAGACGTCTATCAACGCCAGGCACCTGTTACATAACTATGCTACAAACAACTCCTCCCAAATGGTACTGAATAATTAAGTGAACAATTACAGCAATAATCTTGCTAGTTGATTGCTTGGGAAAAAACCTTCCATCTGTCTTGTGAACTTCCTCCTATTCATTTAGCTACACAGAAAATAGTGGGTGTGCAGGAATTTCTTGCACACCTTAGTCTCTATATTTTCGCAAATCTCTCCCTCTGTGCTCACGCAATTATTGAACTGATTTACATCACAGCCATTCCTACCCCCTTTAACTACTATTTGTCAACAGCCACAGTAGGGCTGATTCTAGATCCAGATGTATGACTTCTTATGACTGCACACTCTCACAAGAAAAAATATTAATAGTTATTTTCCACAGACTAGAAGAATAGTTTATATTATAGCACATTGTTTTTCAAAGACATTTCAACTGGTAGTATGTGTGCATATCCTTTAACATAAAAGCTCATAATGCAAGAATAAAATGCTATTTTTATATACTTCTACATGCATATCTCATCTAAATTATTTACTGAAGATCAGAGGATGATGTTCAACTATTGTTTTACAGAGGTGATCGAAGAAATAGTTGAAAAAAAAGATAATTGAACCTGTAATCCCCTAGAAAAATTCTAGGGGATTAGAAATTCCCAAGTCCTTCAGATAGTTAACTAACCTGAGTGGTAACTACAGTCTACTGTTCCTACTTTGGACTATGCTGCATGTTTTGAATTTATTTCTCAGTACACGGCTCTGTAAAAATGAATCATACCTTTCTCAGATGTATTGCTGTTGAAGCTAACTGGACCTCTGCCAAGTGGCTCTGTCCTTAATACAGCAAGTCTGAAGTTGCTTTAGCACAGTTGTTTTGTTAAAGTGAGAAAGTCAAAGAGACAAAATTCTGGACTGGCAACTCCCTGGAGGTTTTAGTTAGTATGAGGTATCACCTTCTGGTTTGTTGTATATGTTGATGGTTGTATTGTTAAAGGTGACAGGCTCACAATTAAAGATTAAGAGTTCCTATCCTATTTTCACGGAGAAAATTTATTGTGAATATTTCAAATGAAAAAGGAGGGCTCCTATCTTCTAAGCTTAAAAAAAAAAAGGAAGAAAATTTTAAATTTTACAGAGCTTGGAGACTCTTTTCCTGGATAAAAACAGTTAAGTGCATACAGGAGAGAATACTCTTCTTTTTTTTGCCATTGCATTCTTATGTAATCAGATCACATTATATTTTGTCCCAGTTTATTTGTTCAATTTACACAAAATAATGAAGCCAACAAAAATTACGTTCTGCGTGGTACTGTGAACTTGAAAGTGCTGTCAATTTCTTACTGATTAGTCATTTCAAAATACCAGGTCCTCTGAAGTTAATGAGTTACAATGTCAACTCTTAAACAGATAAATACATGTGTAACTAGAACGAATATAGTTCTGGGCTGATCCTTACATAGATGAGATACTGTTGTGTTTAGCAACATCTAAATATAAATAAAGGTAAAATATAAGTACCCATACGAGATTTTTCCATTGTGGCAGTCACTTTGTAAAGAGAAGCACACAGAACATATACTTACTCTGTCTCCTTTAGGACCTGCGGGGCCATGGGGACCAACTGAGCCATCTATACCCTGCAAAAGGAAACAAAGAGGGTAAGAGCAAAGTCTTGTTCTTGCAACTCTTTAGTTTTAATAGCTGTCTTCTAGCCAAGAACTAACATGGAATCAGTCTTCACTGGCTGAAAATTCAAACTTAATTGTGGTGGGACCTAGCTGAACAAATCCATTTGGCTTTCAAAACTCCACCTATAACCTCTCCTGTTACGAGGTAAACCATCCTTCTAGTCAGATCCCTAACCTTAATCCCTAACCTTACTCAAGAAAATAAACAACCCAACTAAGGCAGCTGTCCAACCAAAAATCAAAACTAAACCGCCTTTTTAATGTTCAGAACTCCTTCTACAGAGAATTACACTATCCTTCCAACACATTTTGCCCTAAGAGTCTGTCTGAAGCCCCCTCTAATACAGCATGGAAAATGCCTGCAGCATTTGGCCTTTCTTCCTCCGTGCAGTGTGTGAGCATGGCTGGCAGAGCCCCTGGGAAGGACATGGACTCGGTAACGAAGAGTGACACAGAAAGACAAGGGACTCACCCGGGGTCCTGGCTTTCCGTCTAAGCCAGATGCTCCCTGTGTGGTTAGGTGGAAGCATGGATGATGGGTACAACACCAATGACAAGAACATGAGATTAGTAAGTGGTACTGATGAATAAACATAATTCAAACGTACAGTACAAGTTGTGACAGGGTTCTGGAATGGGTATCACATTACTACATCATTGTTAGTTAAAAATTCACATAAAACATCAGGAGCCTGATTCTGTTCTCACTTTAGTGTAACATCACTGACCCACCCCTGTCCTCACATCACAGTATATTACACCAGAATATTGTCAAGCTATAGGAGTGCTACAAACACCAGATGTTAGGGTAGTTTTGAGCCTTAATACACAAATATTTACTTTGTAATTTACTTGCATGCTTTCTAATTTGTAAATAACGACAGTACTGAATACTATACACAAAGGAAGAAAAATGTGTGTTAACTGTGATAGGAAATATTTAAGTGTAAGAATACTGCATTATGCAGCCAACAAAATCTGGATCCTGACTACAATGGCCTCATTCATTTCCAAGAGCCCCGGAGACAATCACATTTCCTGTTTTCCCAATATACTCCCAGTTCAGAGCACAGTCAAGGGCTGCAACAGCAGCACCCGGCACTCTGGGCTATGTGCCTCAGCATCCTTGGGGATGGGGTGACCCCTCGTGGATTGTGTGGGAATAACAGAGCAGCAGCGAGAGCGCTGCAGTGCGGGCAGGGCGGGAGACAACACTAGTCGGGACATAGGGAATAATCTGTGGGACACTGCCCCAGAAAAAAAACCAACCGAAACCAAAAAGAAATCCCAACTAAAAAACTCCACCCAACTCAATAAAATGAGCCATGGAACATCAAAATCTTCGACTTTGTTCCTGAAAATTACATTCAGAAGCAATAAGCAGTAGAAGACAAGATCTACGTAAATTTGAAAAACTAATAGCATATTTTGTTCTGTGTTAGAACAAACATTTCTGGAAAAAATAAAACTTTTTTCTACCTTTTAGCCATTTTCAAGGTGTTGGCTCAGGCCTCCAAAACACACTCTCTACAGAGGCGTGACTGTCAATGCGAAAATGATTTTTTTTCTCAAAATAAATTAAAACTAAAATTCTCAGTGAAGCTGACCTTTTCCAGTGGCCCTGCACATAATTCTTGAAAATATTAATCAGAGGGGTTTGTTTCTTTGGGTCACCTAAGTGTTTTTTCTCCATTTTACTGTTAACAATGTAATCACAGGGAATAATCCTTATACAACATCACAACAAAAGGAAAAATGAACTCCTTTTGTGAGAAAAAAAGTAAAGCTATCTTTTCAGCATGCCTTCAAACACATAAAGTATTTTCTATTTTATTATCCTAAATTTTAACATATTAATGTTTCCATATTTTTAGGGTTCTTCATTTCCTTCTAAGAAAAAATTTATGCCAAACACTCAGAATGGAAATTTTCTAAAGAGGGAGGAAAAAATAACAATCAGTGAAAAAAAAAATTAAATTCCCTAAACCAATTTTTAACTTTTCTCAGTTAGACCTCTCCATTTTAACTGCAGAAGGGCAACCAAAGGAAGAATAACTGAGGAGACGGAGGAAAGGGAAGATTCCTTTTCCAACGCAAACACCATGCAACACTTAAATAACAGCATGACTAATGTAATGGGGGTGATGGCATCCTTATGACACTGAAGACTCTCAACTGACACATAACAAAAAAACCAAACCTGACAGCACTGGTGTTACAGGATGATACTTCGGACAATAGCACAGATTTGGGACAAAACGAAACAAGACTTATGCTCTGCTCTAACATGGTATATTCTGTGTATGCTACTAAGTAATTCAGAGTTGTTCATCACGAGTAGAAATAAAAGTTTGTGATTTCCACTGAGATTGAATAGTTGGGTTTTTTTACTTACTGGAAGACCAAGGGGCCCTCTGTCACCCTTTTGACCTGGTTCACCCTTCAATCCTTTAAGACCATTTAACCCTGGTTCACCCTAAATGTAAAAGTATAAATGCCAAATTTTTGGTGCTATAATGGATGCTTAAGCTGGGATAGAAGAAGCCAGACTCAGAAATAGCTGCAAATTCCAGTTTGAAACAAGGACACAGATTCAACTTTCTCAGTTTTCTGGCAACTAACATACTAATATAATACTGGGCAAAAGCACCTGGGAGGTGTCTGCTGGAAATTCAAAATCTGTGTGAAAAAAACCTACAGGAAACTTGGGAGTAACGCATTTTTTTTAATCTTTTCCTAATAATTGCCACTATAGTTAGATGGTTTGAATTAAGAATGAGTTTCAGGGGGTTTTGGAAATCCCTCAAATCCCATAAACCACCCTATGCAGGTAATTCCAATTGAAAGAAAATGTTCAGAAAAATAAGCCTCAAACTGTAGGTTTCTACAGTGGGATCTCCTGAAAAGTAGATTTGGTGAGGAAGCAATACTTTTCCTTACAGCAAACTGGAATTTGCAGCAAAATCTTACATAAAGATATTTTAAACCTTTAAGCATACACAATTAAACAATAACAAATTAAAAGCAGCACAGCTTACACAATGCTAAGCTATTTGGGAGGTCCATAGTTTCTGTCTTCATACAGAGAAGTTTTAACAACATAAGAAATGGCACTTTGTCTTGTTGTGATTGTTAAATTATGCACAGGCTATTATTATATTAAACATCACTACGAGGATAACAGTGGGCTTGGAGTTGCTAATATATCATTCTCCCATAGTGAAAAACTACATCAGTATGAGGGCTGCTCGGTCAAAAAGAACACTGACCACACTTGACCCTTTTGGGAAACAGAAATACGTGGGTTCTTCATCCAGGTTGTTCCCTATGGCCTCATTCCTAGTTTTCTCTTCAATGTATTATGTTACCTTATACCATATTCATATTTTTAAAAAAATATCTCAATAGAACCTAGTCTGCTCCTTTAAGTAACTCCAGATATCATCTGTTGCTTTGCACCCTGCCTAAGTAGCCATTTCTTCATTCTTCTTCTATTTGACTCGATGTGACTTTCAGAGCAGTAGCACTGAAGCTGAAGTTTTGGAAACAGACCTGAGAAATCCCACAAAAGCCTGAGTCTCAGGCCAAAAGCCTGAGGTAAGGCAGGGCTGGTGCTAAGATGGAACAGACTTGATTCCAAAAAATGATTTATGACTCGGGCTTCTTGAGCCAAGGTAACATGAACAGTCTCATAAGGAGTCAAAACAAATTCCAAAAATTAAACAAGAAAGGCCCTCTCCTTCTCTTCCTTACTTTTTGGGAAAGGTAGATATGACTAGGGAGCCATAGTGATTCAAATGTTCATCCTGACAAGACCACTGGCCTTAACAAATGCTATGCTATAGTGTCATGCTCAATTTTAGCTTACTAGTGATTACTGAATTAAAGCACAAATTAAAATATTCAACTCTGCCAAAATTCACTTCTACCCTCCTGAGCTGTTTTCACTGAGTCCCTATAGTATATCTTTGTGTAATATGCTATGGGAACTGTTTAAATAGCATTGCAGACCTGCCTGATCAGGAATTTCAGTTTGGAAAACATGAACATACACCCATCAGTTTGTGACGGTGAACTAGCATAACATGTGAAGTAACTGCTCAGCAAAATACATGGTGCCTAAGAAGGTGAAAGGCCATGCACACTGGAAGAAGCAGGAGATACAAGAGAGCATAAATAGAGTTTATCTGACTCCATTTCCTGAGCCTGCAACATGCTTCTGTGTTCCAAAGTAATTCCAAGTACAATAGTAGCTTGCCCATAAACAGGAAACTAAATAATTCAGTGCCATATCACAAATATCAATACAGAAAAGGAACTCAGCTAATGCTGAGGAGAAATACTACTCAGAAAGAATCACAGAAAATTTAAAAAGTTTTTAAGCTGTCTGTTAATATTAAAATCTGCTTTAAGGTTTAAGAATATCAGAAACATTTATCAAATGAGACATGACAAAACATAGCTCCATGTGTTAAAGAGCGAAGCATGACACTTTGCAGACACTGAGAGTGTGACTATTCAAGACAGGTATTAATTTACCTTGGGGCCAGGAAGTCCATGAGGTCCCTGAAAATAAAGATACTATTTTTCATTACAAAAATACACCACCATTTTTTAAGGGTTTGTTGCTTTATGGGGGTGCAAGTTGCACCTATATTTTTGTAATCACAAACAAAATGCAGCTGTCAATAAAGCACCTGTAAACACCTGATTCTTAGGTTGAACCAGATCACTAGCACATCAACACTAACATAGGCAGGTGCAAGCTTTTTTCTTTACTTCCTATGAATTTTAAGACATGCAAAAAAATTTGTAAATTAGATCCCTCTCTAGTGGCCACATATTCTCATAACACTTCTAGTAAGCAGGCATTAAAGTGGCAAGAGGGCTTAAGCCCTTTCTAGCCCCACTCTTCCTCCCAAGCTTACCATAGGGCCTGGAGGACCATGTGGCCCTGGTGGTCCAGGTGGTCCTATCATCTACAGATAAAAAACAATGGCATTAAATCATGCAGAGTAAAGAACTCCTGCAAAAATACCAGAAGTCAGACTGACTCTCCTTCTGTTGGCAAGTACTCACAAAAATAGCAATGCAAGAGTGAACATTGACAGTGTATCTAGACGGTGCTTTAGGAATGGGAAGTATTTTGATTTGAAAGACAGGGTACCAAAAGTGTAGATTTGCCTGTGCCATTGGCAGCTTGCCTGTCTCCTGATTCTTATTCCTAGGGTCTACGATACACTTTAAGACACTATCAGGAAAAAAAAATCTCTGTAAAACAAACAGTACTGAGCAGGGATGCTTGAAATTTTAACATTTTATGGTATGTGCTCTTTAGTTCTCTCTTGTACTACTTAATCAAGAGAAACAGAAGAAGATGATGTGTTATTTTATCCTTCCTCAATACTGATGAATGGAAAAGATACTAAATTCAAGCTAGGCTTTGGCATATTTTCAAAATTGCCCTTTCGCTCTCCTTTTATTTAGTTTAGACCACTTATACCAAGAATTCTCAAAAGCCATTAAAATAGGTAACCAGGTTGCTCAGCATTTAGTGCATGCGTATTCTGTATTGGTTTTCTGTGTTCCTAACAAATCCATGGAAGGAATTTTATGATGATATATACAGATTAATATCACCTCTCTTCCTGGATTTAATCCCAAAGGGCTGTTATAATAACCTGCAGAGTGGCAGCAGGGATGCTAAATCAGGTCTCCAGGCTTATGCACAACCACTCTGCTACACTAGCTGCTGGTGATGGCAACAGTGGCAACAAGATGCACTTTGAAACCTAAGACAGATTCCCCCATCTGTGAAATCTCCTGAAAACTGAAAGCCTTCCTTCAAGTGAAAACAAGCAGAACAAGATGAATGAGTTTGTGAATTAATTTGTAACTAATCTTCATTTCAGAGAAAGAGACTCAGAGATGTAGGGTGCCTATCGTGTCCTGTGACAACACAGAGGAGCCTCTGATTCCTCAGAACCAAGGTCTTCTGTCACCAGTGAGAAGGTAGTTGTAGTTAACTGCTTTGAGGTCTCCTATCTTACTGTGCTCTGATAACCTTAATCACCCATATCATAAAGGTACTTTGTGGGAGATTGTTTGCTTGGTGTAGTTTTTTTTGTGTAGTTGATCTTTGGTTTTGTTGCTTTCCTTGTTTTTCTGTTTGTTTTTTAATGCCTTTGCAATGCTTTGAAAAAAATCAGGAGAATGTCTGGTCTCATAAAACTAGTCACTACCCTGGTCACACATCTGAAGTCAGTCTAGTCTGATTCTCACTGGACTTTCTGAGATTCCCAGAATATAACGTGTTGAGACATGTTACGGTTTGTGTGGGGATTTTTTTTTCCCCATTTATACTTTGATTCATTACAGACCCAGAAGGCTTTCACTGAAGCAAGCAGGACTGTTGTTCATAGTGACAGAATAGAACAGAACAGGTATAATTCCTTAAACTTAACCTGTTAAAACTTAACCTGTATTTAGCTCAATGACCAGAAGTCTGTTTATTCGCAGGAAACATCAGTCATGATGAATACGAAGTATTGTTCAGAATCAAAAGCTGGAGAACCATTGCTGGACTCCTGTGTTCATTGCAACACCACACTGAGACTTACTGAAGGACCTTGGGCACCAGGGAAACCAGCATCTCCTTTTTCACCTTTCATACCATTGGCTCCCTAAAAAATCATTAGGAAACAGCATTTATAAACAGCTTTAATCTTATTAGCAATCAATCTAGAAATGACAATATTTATTTGCAAATAATTCTAATTTTAAAAAATAATAAGATGGCACACATATAAAGGAAACCCTTTTTAAAAGTTTTGGGATTACTTTATAAATAATTGTTAACAAATGTAAAGGAATGCTTTCATATTGATAGCTATCAATTGTGGCAGGATATTCCTGACAATTCCTTAATCTGATACTCCACTCATGATATATTCTACTGTGGATACAATTTCAGAACAGTTTCTGTTTTTACTAAGAAATTTCATATATATATATATATATATATATATGAAGAATGCATCCCATAAATATTGATGCATTTTCTCTTGTTCCTCAATCTAAGTCATCTGAAATTCCTGACAAGTGTTCAAAACATAGCTCCTTTTTCCTACAAGCTACACTTGACCGAGTTGTGCCGTATATTACAAGAGAGGTACAATTCTGGACCTCTTCCCAATGCAATACTGTTTTTGACTGTAAGCGTAATGAAAAATTCTGACAATGTTACACATCCTCCTAGATTAGCTGCAGAACAAACTCACAATTTTCTCCCCAGTGCTTTCTGTCCTGTTTGCAATTTATCAGCACTGTTGGAAATTCCTGACAATGTAAGAGAGAAAAAAAAAAGTATTTTAGCTAAAATTAAGTAATTATTTTTTCATACTCACTGGCAGGCCAGGCAGTCCAATTCCTCCCTTTTCTCCAGGCATTCCAGGATCACCTGTATCTCCTTTTGAGCCCTTAAGACCCTAAAATATGGACTTATTCAGCAAGTTATGTAAAAAAACCAGAAACACCAACAGAATTCTAGCTTTGATCCTAATAAGCTGAATAAGTCACGTGCATGCATATACCTTTGCTATTACAATGTAGAAATGCAGACATTATTAGATCACAGAGTGATCTATGCAGCAACATAATAATAATCTTTATTAATTACTATCATAATAGTATTAAGTTAGATTATGAAATCTAAGTTACAGCTGGGATCATGGAAATTTCTTGAAATAACCTATGATTGCTCACGTGTTCTTCACTATGTGATTTACACATAATGTACCTGCTCTCCATCAACTCCCGGCGTTCCTGGGGATCCTGGTTCACCCTGCAAAAGATAAGATGGAGTTGCATTATCCCAGTTGTCCCAGACATTTGAGGAAAGAGGCAGGAAATTGCAATAATTAAAAACAAAAAAAGCCAGGGAATATTATTCCAAAAAACCCAACATATGTATAATTCCTATATCGAAAAAATAGCCCTGCTGATTAAGACTTCAGAAACTTTGGGTTGCATAAAGACCAGACAAGTGCATAAAAAGAAATGACAAGAAGACAAAATCCCAGGATTGAAAAGACCCCAATCCAATGGAAACTTTGCCCACTACCACAACGAATGTGGAATCATGGCTCTCAACTTATGTAAGGTACACAGAGACTTCATCTTTTCTTTCCCTGACTAATATGAATCATCCAGTGAAAGAGTTCACATTCACAACACTGTCCTACGACCAGTTCCTGAGAAGCATTCTCTAAGGGAGCAAATAACACTGATGGGTAGAGTCTATGATATCAGAAACAAACTCTCATAGTGTTGAATTCTGCTTTATGTTATGGATTTTGAATGGAAATGCTCATCTATATGAAGGAATACAACCTCCTCCACCCTCCAACTCCTCTGTGTTTTACAATATACTCCGGGCTGCAGAAATGCTGGGTAGATGATAACACAAAAAGCAATTTCTGCACACTTAACTGTGTATTCTATTATCAATTTTCACATAGAAGAATGAACTTTGTTTCTCACAATTTCTCAAAACAATGAACATGTGTATTGTGATGTACCTCCATATGAAAGATTGGATGAAGTCTAAAACTGAAATGTCTAGTTTTGTTGTTGAAGACGCACATATTTGCTCTTGAAAGAGCTTAGAGACACTGAGGGAACATGCGATATCTAGTATTTAAGAAATAGAGAAATATAGCAATTAATTTAAAAGCAATTTAGAGAGAGTCCACTAACTGCAACACTTTTTTTTTTAAAGTGTAAGCAAATTTATTATTTAGATTTTATAGAACAGTGCAGCATATGGTATTCATTGCCTCTGTGTGGGCTGCTCACTAACCCTTCTGGTATACGTACAGAACCAGCCAGGTGGTATTAGCAGGCCTGGTTTTCCAGCCAGGCTCCTGCCCACAGGCTCCTGTTTTAATTTTTACCAACGTTAGAAAATACTGTACTTATTTGGGTGGGTACCACCATGACAAAAGCTGCATTCACATCCACTCATACTGCGTCCAGTGGTATCTTGCACACAGTTTTGCCTACCTCATTCCCACTCAGCCAGAAGTGAGGCATAGGAGCCACTGTCTGGTTGTGCGGCTACTTTGCAATGTCCTAAGAATCAGCCTCAGTGCAGACCCCTGAGTTAGATGCTTCTGCACACTTTCGGTACTAATTAATTTTTCTGGCTCTTAGTTGAGCATCTGTGTGTGGCAACCAATCAAAGCACCTATTCTGGAAAGCTACAGTTAAAGAATCTGGGATACAAAGTTGGAAACATGCCATATTTGGTAAAATTACAGTTAAATAAGCTGTACCAGAAAGCTCCTTTTACCTGTGTGCATACATCATTTGAAAAAACAAAACACTCCACCCTTAAGATACAATGGGTAAAATAAGGAAGATCACCTTTGGCCCTTGCAGCCCTTGGGGTCCTGGTGGTCCTGGTGGTCCCTAAACAGAACATATAAACCTCTCAGCTTTTAAATAAATTCCTGAAGAACTTGCCATGTAAGCACAGGGTGAATGTTAATACAGCCACTGTAACAAAATGGGTTAGATTTTGAACACAAGGGGAACCAAGACCATTTATGGACAAGTTGTTAATCTATGACAACTCTCCAACAACCAGAAGGGTACCACAAAAAACAGCGTTAAAAGAACAGTTCAGGTCATATTTTATCATAAAGTCCTCTGCTCCTATTGAGGAAATGGCAAAGCTCCTCTTAACTGAAGGAAGACCAAAACTCACCTCAGCCACATTTGACAGCTCTCACAGCCTGACTCAAAACAAGTGAAGATCAGGAGAAATCTCCAACCGATTGCAAAGAGGATTCTGCTAGAAGATGTCAAGTGCATTTGGGGATACCCAGTACTTTGTGAAAGTGCCATGGAGTAATTTCTGTCATTTCTACCTCAGATTGTGGACACAGTGCCACGTATCAAATACTGGTCTGGATGGTGCATAGTGAGGATGCTTTAAAAAACCCCCACAACAACATTTAAAAATCCCCTGAATTAACATAAAGAAAGGGTATGTACAGATGGGAAAATACGACTAACAGCAATCTTGCAGCGAAGAACTTGAAACAAAAAAGAAGAATAAAATAATCTGTTTATACCAAGTCTGCAGCTTTAAGGAGTGGCTGAACCTGCAGGACTATATGCATCTCCTATGTGGTGTCACTATTCTCAGATACTGTGTCTGGCTGGATGCAGCTAAACCTCCTACAGAAATTGACTGGAGTAAGAAGACTGAAGTCTTCAGTTGTCCACACATTTGGGGACAGGTCCTGGAAATTTTAACTTTATTTCTGAGATCTGATAAGATGGGAAAACAGAATTCCTCATACTTGGGCTTTCTACTTAACTTATTTATAGTAAGTAAAGTAACTGAGGCAAGCTTTCTTTCCAGAAAACGTTTATTTTTCATCTGGTTTGAAAACTCCTAAATGAAATTTCTTCACAAGCCAATTTGAAAGAACTGAATTTCTAACCTGAAAATAAAGTTGTTTGGTACTCAAATCCTGCTTCATGTTTTCACTTGACTCCCAGGTAGACACCCACAGAGAGAACATACACCAAAAATTCCAAAGCAGCTGTCTGCCTAGATGTGTACATAAAGTGCTGAGTTCTTTGTTTTCCTGGTTTCTTGGTTAAGTAAACTTAAGTTTTGCCATTAATTCAGCAGGAGCAGAATCAATTCCATTGTTGGGTGGCTTTCAACAATGGGTTTTCTGTTATGGGAACACCAAACAAACAAATAAATACATGCTATGATGAACCATATGACATCCAATGAAGACACGTCCTGAGCTAGCAGAATTATGAACATGTTGCAACACAAAGGAGAAGTTTTACAACACACCGTAAGTCATGCAATAGGAATTACCGTGACAGTCAGGGTGGCAATCCTCTGTTGGCAAAATGCATTAACAGGAGACATCATTAGCAGAATTAAACAATTACATAAATTATTCTGCTTGCTAAAGTTATAATCGTCACAGAACCTATGCTGAATCTGGGAGAGATCACACCTCCAAAAACATGAATAAAACTCCTGTTATTTTTAACTCTTGGTATTGTACTAGCTTCTTGGCTTCCATGGAGATTAGGGTTTTACATAGGTGAAAACTGCAGGCTTTTGTGCAACTTAAGAGATCAAATTAATGATGACTAAATAGTAGAATCATAGCATAGTTTTTTAAATTTTTTAGGGAAACGTGATGAGTTGGTGTCATAAGTTGACTAAAAGACTAGCCCAATGCTTTGTAATGTCTGCAGGTTTTGCACTAATGTTTAATTAATAGAAACAATTCCTAGAGTGGAGATATAAGACTGATTTTCATATAGAAATGCAGTTAAAAATCCCAAAATGCCAGTTCACAACCCACCTAAACACACTACAATTCTGCTTTAAATGTTTGGAAAGACAAAAGATATTTTAATCATGGAAGGAGGCAAAATATCTTGACCTAACACTATTTTTTTGCCAAAGGATTTAAAGGCAAGTGAAAATATGTTTAAAACTCATTTAAATGCTTTTCTATATTTTTAAACAGAGTAAAACCTCGAAATACTGCAGCTTGCACATGCTTTCCTTTTGTTTGTGAAGAACTTACTGGTCTACACGAAACAAGAAATATTTTGCTTTACTTATTTTTTTTTATGTGCAAATAAAGGTTTGCAGATCTTCTATTTTAAGCTTTAAAAGAATCTTCATGTCAATGCAACAATACATACTGTTGGCAAGAATCTGGAACCTGCTTAACACAAAGTACTTGAAAAAAATGTTCTCTAACACATGGCTTTAATATACTCATACCCTTTGTATTTTAACATATTAATGGAAACATATCAAGAACTCTAAAGATACTGAAAAGTTCAGTTTATCTAGATATGAAAATCTAAAATAACCATTGCAAATTACTGTTTACTCATTCTCACTAACAGATTCCTTTACAGTAGAAGGTTTTTTAATATCTAATGCTGTAGTTCCTACAAATGTTATATTTTCGAAGCTACTGCTTTTTGCCCTGGGAAATTCTGCAGAGTAAGTCCAAGGAGCAATTATGATAGAGATATAAATTTTGTATGTGATCTTCCAAGTGAAAGCCACATACTCTCAGCAGGGGTCTTGCTGGGACTATGATGACAATTTTAGGATTGCAATTTTCAGTGCTGATGGACTAAGACATTCTCCACTGACACATGAGATGGAATAGGAGGCAAGAGGCAAAGTAACTGAATTGCTAGACTGCATGATGATTTATTATTGAATTATAAAAAATAGCCAGGCAGCCCAGAACTTGCAATCTCTTGTCAACTTCTTAAATCAGCAGGGCAAATTATGTGCAAGTTCTCAGTCAGTGCTGAGCACTGGACGTTCTCATATACTTCCATGAGAAAACTGCAAATCTCAGAGAATTTGGCACCAAGAGGCTTAGAAATGGGTGTTTGCCATCTGAAAGGACTGAGCTGGATTTGGCAAGCATATTTTCAACTGATCCTGTATAATCTTACTTACACCCTCCCTGCACAGCCATTCCCATTAATATCAATTATTTGTTGCCCTGAATCAGAGGGTGATGACATTTGAAATGATTTGCAATGGGATAAAGGCTTCCTAATATGTTTCAACCACTGTGAAAGGCTTTAGTCCCTTTTTAAGGTTTCTTTATGTGCTGCAGGTTTTCTGAGGAAGCTTGAAAGTAACACTGGTGCCAGAGTTAAGATACAAAGACAGAATACAGGAGATACAGGGGCTAAAGCCCCTGGTAAATCTGTGTCTGGTAATATACAACAATAATTTCAGGCTACTTTAGGCATGTAACTCAGAGAGTGGACTGAAAGTTGTGTGCCTGAATTCCCTTACAAGCAAACCAAATGAGACAAATATAATGCAGAGCCTCACAATATGCCTCTGCAGACTTCCCCATAGATACCAATTACAATGAAAGAGTGGACTTCGCCTTAACAACATACAGGCTTTTAGATTTTAGTAAAGGCAATGAGATTTTTTTTGTTTTCCAAAAGGGTCTTGAAAACATGGTCAGACATTTACCCACTCCCACTGAGTAAATGCAAAAAAAAAAGTTCATCGGCTCCAGTGAGAAAGTGATCAGATACACAATGAGCCAAATCCAGTCTTCAGTTGCACATAAGCAAGTCATTCACTTCAGTGGAGTTATACTGCACAGAATTTGCATCTGAGTATACTGCCATGTAAATCACCTTGACTGCAATGACATATGTCATCTTGGTCCTTTGCTTTTATGCAAACACTCATTCATTCTTTTTGTAACCCCACTTTAATCCTCCACACTTTTCTGCACACCAGTCAAAATAGGTTTTCCAGAAATGAATAAGTGAGAAGACCGGTGCTTGCTCTATTTAACATACTCAAGTTGCTGATTGAATCCACAGCTTGCTAATGGAACCACGTTATATGGTTTCCAAATCTCAAATATTCTGCTCTTTGCATTTTATAGGAAGAGGAAGAGAAAAACAAGGAAAAAAAGAAAGACCAATATTATACTACATGAATTGAAAAGCAGACACTTCTGTTGAACCTGTGTATGTGGTTTATTACATGAATTCAGCACTAAACACCAGAGCCAGCAATGAATCAGCTTTATCCTCATTAGATGATGTCAATATTCTCCAGGGGACATGAAACCAATTCACTCAGCTAAATTTTATCAAGGAAACAGTTTGTCTAACACCAAACAGAAAACCTGGTTTCCAAATATAGAAAGTGATTGCTGACTAATAAGCTCAACAATTTTGCACACAAGACATATTCAAGGTTTATGCAAAAGAGAAATACAATGCTGTCCAACTGCTTTTTCCCACACCAGACTAAGCCAATCCAGCCTTATGTTTGCATACCTGCAGAGCTTCATGGATATTGCCATTATAATCAATTATCTCTGTCGCACCTTGATCACCCTTCTGTCCAGGTGGTCCCTGTAATACATTTTCCATAAAAATTTTGAGACAACTGCCAAAGACTATTCTAGACTCTTAACCACTGACACATGCTTTAACTTGATTGTGTGGTGTTGGAATCTTACTGTACTTACAACATACTACTACAAAACACAAAGATTAGCATTAAAATTAAGATTGTTTTAAAAAAGAAACAAACTTTTTTAAAAAAAAAGATAAATAAGCAGGTCAGTACACAGTGACGTGTGCTGCAGTGGGAAAGCAAATATATGAAACTTTCAAGGGGAAATATTTAAGCAGTTTGATACTCTAGTTCTGTATTGGTTGTGAACAATGTCAGAACATCTGGCACGTAACATCCAGCCCACAAACTGTGAACAGGAGACTTGCAGTTGGGATGTTAGTCATATTAAAGGCCAGTTAGCAACACACGTTCCAACAGAGTCTAGTGCCCAATTTCATCTCGAGTTTTAACTAGAGTCACTGCTACAATTTCAGGTCATGTGAACTGAATCTAAGAGTATAATACAAAGAGCTGTGATGAAAAGTAGACTTACTCGCGGACCTGCAGATCCTGTGTCACCTCTGTCACCTGTATCACCCTATGTAAAAATGATATTTGAAAACAGATATGCCATTTAACAATATACCATGTAGTTCTTCCCTTTCAAATATGTTTTCTTATATAAACTGGTTTAAAGGGCTGGCCTCTCATTCTAAACAGAATGTGGATCTTAATGAAAAGAAAAATCAGTGTAATGATAAACTTGACAATTATGAACTTAGTTCTGTGTGAATTATTAGAGTGTTGTATTGGTATGGAGTAAGAAATACCGAGGAACAAAATAAAGACAGATTACCAATTCAGTAATTTATATAACGTCCCTCTTCTAAATGACATTATTATCAAAAGCTTGAAGAAACACTAGAGAAATTAAATCACTCAGTCTGAAAACAGTCGACAACTTCTTCAAAGGTGTGTTTCAAAATGTATAACTTTTCTTTCTGTGATCATGACTCCACTTTCTCAACTTTCCCGCTCTGAGTCATTGCCTCCCCTACAAGCACAACATTACTGTCAGCATTACAGTTTCTTGACTCCCTTTCTGTGAAAGGCTTAAGATCACTGCCAACTTACACATAGCTTTTTCTTCCTATTACTAGTATGTTTGAAATGATGGAGGGAATTTCAAACATATATGCATTCATAACCCAGCATTCATAATTCATTTCACAGTCACTTTCACAGCAAGATCTTATGTTTTTATATTACTTGAAATTAATATGGGTAAGAATGCAACTTTCGCTCCTGTTAAAATCTAGAGAACTTTGGTAAAGTCATGGAAGAATGACTAATTCACCAGAGAATGACTAATTCACAAAACACATAGAAAACAGAAAATTTTCATAGGGCTAATGAAGACATATGGAGAGCAGGCTGGTGGCAGGGCATAATCAAGGTTGTGCTATCCGCCTTTCCTTTCAGTGTTGCCTTGGCAGCAGCAAGTGAACATGCCATTGAACTATTAAAAAATGAAGTTCTCAACCACTAGACTGACTTCCGTGGGCTAGATTTTCATGACAGGTATGCAGGTAAAATGAAAATTGTATATGATTTTTTGATAAAAAGGAAATCAAAAGGCATATCTTTATAATTTTGGCACCTGTGGGAGGTGCCCAGGTAGTACAGCCAAACGAGAGGCTGATTTACTCTTATACTCTCACTCTGATACTTTAATCCCTTGATTAGTTTTCCAATGCTTCTTTCTGGAGAGAATAAATGAGCTTAAATGGCACTTATTTAGTCATCTCCTTAAGCACTTAAGGTCACTCTTCAAGGACATTACAAGTACTGCAAAAAGTATCATACCGGCCTACATTGTCTTGTCACCTTTATTCTGACAGACTCAATAACCGCCTAAACAAATATATTTTCATTTTGCTTTTACTTTGAAGGAATCCAGTGGGCACAGAATTTGCACAGCAGATAAAGTAACAGAAAAAACATACATTTTATCTCTCCACATATGTGAACCAGCTATATCTATTGAGAGACAGGTGGATAGATAGATATACTCAAAGTAGAGTATTTCAAGTAGTAAAACAGCAATGCAACTGACAGCTCTTGCCTTTGTAGGACTTCTGATCATCATGTCTCAGCCTGCAGTACTGGGGATAGCACTGATTCGTAACTCACCAAAGTGTGGATCCACAAAGTTATATAATAGCACAGTCAGGTGTAGGGTCCTGGCATGTGGGAGGACTAACCCACATCAGTTACACAGAGAGAAACCAAGTTGCATGAGGAAAACCAGAGCAGAGTGGAATGGATGTTATAACAGAAAAAGGATTAGAATCACAGTGTTCAAAACACATAAGTTTTGACTTCAATAGCTAAATTTGGAAGTCAGAAGATTTCACTTATAAAGAACACTGCAGATTGTTACATGTTCTTTTAAAAAGATAAGCAAAGTTTCTCTGAAATGTTACAAATAATCGATCCTAAAAATCATCATGTTAATTACTCCACTAAAGACAGTTTCTTTACTACTAACCTTTGACCCTTTTGGGCCTCTAGATCCAGGTTCACCTGTTTTCCCCTGTTTGAAGGAAGATAGGAGAGAAATCATAGAGAAATGGGAGCGCAGAGAAAAAGAAATTAGTAATTACTAACTACAGTATGGAACACCAGAAATACTTCATTTGATATTACCAAGATAATGAATCTGTAAAGGCACTAAATTTAATAGCGCCCAGATTAATATATTCTTTAACACCAGAGTGCAAAGGCCACAGATTCTATCCTTCCAAAGGAAAAGTAATATTGATGTTAGTAAACAGCAGGCATCATTAACAGTGGTTTTCAGGAATGGCCTTTGTCATTCCATAGCTCCTGAGAAATGATAGCCAAAAGATAGAGAAGATAGTTAAATATTCTAATATAAGGAGATTAAAACAGAGTGTTATCACAACTTCTTTTCCCAACTGTTCAGCTGGATACAAACTAACAGGCCAAGGAGCACAGAATTGGCCCTATTATTTTCAAGATGCATTAGGAAAGAAAGACTTGACAGTATTGACACAGAGGGAAATATTAAGACACCACTAAAATGTAGTTAGACTGATCTCTTTCTCAGAGAGTTAGAAAACAGCATGCAAAATGGATTTTCTCTGCATTCAATAGCTACACTGGTCAAAGAGTTCAAACACTGATGCTGAAAGTTAGGGACCTGGAGGTCAGGACTTCAGCTGGAAAGAATTAGGCCAATTTCATGACAGTGTATGTAGGTAGTGCCTTTACTTTGTAGACCAAATAAGAATCCATTCAGACTGCAGTTCCACAGCTGTGAACACAAAACTGCCATTGTCTTCTGGACTGAAGTAGAGTATTTGGCAGCATTTCCACTTAGAAGCTCACTCACCAAGTTTTGTTCTACTTCTCAGCAGGAAAAGATGTATTCATAAGGTATAAAACTAACAAAACATTTCCATTATAAAATCAGACTGACCTTTGGTCCAGGGACTCCAGGCTCACCTCGCTCACCCTTCCCAACAGGGCCCGCCTCTCCTCTGTCACCCTATTGCAACAGACACACATATATGGAAAATACTGGGCAGTCTTTAGCATGACCAAAGAAACAAAGCCAACAGAAGAAACAGAGGTTTACTTTATCTGTATTTTCAGCCTGGTGTGTAGTATCAAAATTCTAATTCCTGCACACACTTTCAAGCCATTTTTTTAAAATACATAATATTTATGAAAATATAGTTTCTTTAGTCATGTATATTCTGGCTCTTGAACAAGTCAGTTTTGGATTCTAACATGAAAAAAGGGTATTTACTGACGTAAGTTATGAGACATCTCCCTTCAAACTTTTTGAGGGTACCTATATATATATATATATATACACACATACATACATACATATATATGGATCTATCTCAAAGCACTGCTCCATTAACTATGACTTTCCACATTTACCTCCATTAGTACAGTCTCAGTCTCTACTACTTGCTTAGGAAGTCGAATTTGACATCAGCTCTAGGGGCTTCGCATCAGAGTGCTGACCACCCTTACCTTTGTTCCTGGTAGCCCTGGTAAGCCAGGTTCTCCTTGAGGACCAATGAAACCTGGTTCGCCCTTTAAAAATACGAGAGGAATGTTAGTTTATTCATTTAGCAGTATGTAATTACAGTAACACTAGTTTATTTTGAATAGTATTTTCCCCTGTATTGCTTACAGCTGTCCAGCTGTGACGCAACAGTTATACAGAAGTACTTTTCATCATGGGTTACTTTCATCAGCATAAATTCTTGTAGCAAGCCATCACACAGCACATGAAATGCAAATGAAGCAGAAGGTGTCAAACATGTTTTTTAATGAGGTTAAGGACTGTTAATATGCAACCTGGTCTGTAGCGTAACACACTCAACTAATCAAAGCAAGTCTGAAGGCAGGAAGAGGGTTCTGAGCATTCCAAAACTTAGAAAGGGACAGTTCATTTCAGTCACGTGTAGCTTTCTATTGCAGCACATGAATAGATGGGCAGACATGGTAAGTGTATGATAAAGCAATGACAAATGGAGAGGCCAGATGGTACTGTTGTAATGTGTTAAAACTCCTTTCAAGTCAGAGACTTGAAGCACCATGATATTCTCCCTCCTCACTCTGACAGTAAAATACTTCAGTTCTCTGCACCCAGACATCTCTGGTTGTGAACAGCTGGGAATGAGCCACAGCTCTCCTCATTCTCTCTGTGTTCTGTCCCCTTCCTTCACATTCATTTGTACAAACAGAACAGACAAATAGCAGGAATCAAGCAGAGCTGCAGCAGAAACAGCACTGAGCCATTGAGTAAGGCCATATTTTATTATCTATCTCCATGCCTGAAGAGGGACAATGGAAGATTAATAAGCCATATGCTTTCCTTCACAAACTCCCCTGAATAAGGTTTCCTGCTAATTAATCTTGCATTTTTTCCACATAAATTTGAATCAAGAAGATACGCTCACAAGCTATTATAAATTTTAAAATCAGCAGTGTAACCCAATTAATACTAATTTATTAGCCTTTTAACAATATCCCTGAACTTAAAAATTCCCCATCAAATGCCTTTTCAAATAGCTAAAAGACAGATGTGTCAAAATCCTGTAGTGATACCATTACTGACAACATACAGACAGTGCAGAGCAGCAGTTGAATAATATTTCTCTTCACCTCTTTCCCTCCTTAGAAATGCAGGTATGCTGCACAGGGCGAGCAAATTATGAAGTATTCTTGCACATTCATCTGTGCTCTCATCAGCAATCCATCATTAACAGTTCAAAGTAAACCTATAACCAGAGAAATCTTTCATGTGGCTATACTGAGGGCCATAGAAAGCACTCAAAGACCCCAATTTAGGTTACAAAAAATTACAAAAAATAATGAGCTTTCTTACATGAAGTTCCAGCTGGCCATGGTTGAAAATATGGCAACAAAGAAATAAACTGAGACAAACATGTCACAGAGAAGCATGTGGGGTTTTTTTGCTTTCATACAAAAGAACCCTTACAGTTTATTGCACACCAGCAAGAGTAACATAAGGTTGTCATTGCAGATGGAAGCACTTTAACGTCAGTAATGAAGAACAATGCAGCTTCAATAATTTATTTTAGAATGAGAAGGTACTCATTAGATCCATATTGTTATAATATTGAATTTTGCCAGTGCTAATTTCTTGGCCAGCTTATTATGACTTCAGGCAGAAGAAATATGCAGTGCCTACTTGATTTAATCTTTTCAGTGGTAAGGCTTAGAAGTGTCACTCAGAGGTTGATGCACAGCTTTTGAGTCAAATTCTTGCTTTTTGCTCAGGACTATACCAGTTGCATATCACAAGAAAACTTCTGGCCAAAGTCCAAGAAGAAACCCCACCTTCCCCCGAAATCTCTAAAGAGATAAGAAAAAGATGCTTTGCCAAAGCTAGTGGAATTGATAATGAAAGAAGCTGGCGGCTTAATCAGGATAAGCACAATACAGGTCTTACATGGCACAGTTTTAAAATGTTTTCAAATGTGGAGTGGAAAAAGTGGTGTGTTAGCAGAGACTAGGAACTGATTGTCTGAGTAGCAGCTCTGCTGAGAGAGATGCAGTGGCTGTGGTGGATGCCAAGTTGAACATGATCCAACACTGTATTCTTATCACACATGAAACAAACCGCAGCAGTTAAAACCTGGCTACATCAAAAAAACCCATGCAATTCTCCCTCTATGCTGCTACTAATATAAGTAGATTAAAAGACAGATCTGATTTGCCATCTGAACTAAGCTTCTAAGTAAAAAGACAACCTGTTTGGATGATTTAAAACTAAGCCATGTCTTCTCTAATATTTCAAATCTCTTGAGTGTATCCACGGCATAAGGCATTAAGTAAAATGCTCAGTTGGGTATTACTTCTGCAACATTCAAAGTTAGTGGAGGTAACAGCTGTATCAAGTTTGTTTCTGGCATTTCTGTCTCAGTTACTCAGAAGAGTAATATTTACATGAGAAGCAATGCCCATTCCTCTTACCACTTGTATCCTGCCATTATATTCTGCAAATATTACCGACTTCATGCTTTATGCTATCTTTTGTGCCGCTCAGATAGAAAAAAAAAGGAATCTATCAAAATTAACACTGTCAATGACATGTGAAATGTAAAGAAAACACCTTCCTCTCAGAAAGGCATGCTGGTGTCCCTGTTACACAAAGGTAAGGGAGAGACCATTATGATTAGTCCATCACACAAACAAGATTCCAGAGCCATAGAGGAATGTGGTTAGAAAATGAAGGACTAAGAGTTTTAGTTTTTTGTTGTAAATATATGACCTTTATGATTTAGCTGGCACATAGGTGCAGGAAATCAAGACTGAAGGCTCGTTCATAACTGTACTTCGGTTTGACAACATTGTGGCTCTAGCATTCACTGAAGCACCTCCTGTTCTTAAATCTCTTGCTTAAATGAACTCAGAATTTGTTCAAAACTACTGTGAGATGCTGAGAGGAATGCAAGGAATCAGAGTAACCAAGATTTACAATACTTTTCTAAACATCTCACTACAACTTCTTACAATAATATCCAAGTTTTATCTGGTAAGAATCTACCACAAACTTCTTTGCTGCCAAAGCTGGGACAAGGAATAGAAAATCTGGAAAGAGGAGTTAAGCAGTTATGTTTTGAAAGAAAGGTAAGGAACTCCTTCATTTGAAATATTGTTGGCAGCTGTACAGAAAGCCATCAGCAAGTGATGGCTCTTTTGCTTGTTCTACTTTAACCCTTTGGTACACTTAGGAAATCACTGCTTAGAAACCACCACATTGCACAGGATGTCAACAAGACAAATTTCAGCACTCAAACTTCATCTACTTTTAGGACTTGGAGCAATCTGTATTAATCACAACACAGGCAGACTGGTATTTAAAAAAAATCAACAAGCTTGTGAATTTCATCCCGTTTACAGAAGTGATGTGTTAAGATTTTAAGAATAACTTTTAGTGGCTTCATATGTTGATATTTTAAGAGACTACCTCTAACATGTGTTGTCTGTAGAAATACTAGTGGGTCAGATGGCAAATTATATACTGCTATTCACAAACAATTTTAATGTTCATTTTTACCTCTTATCATAAAATGTCTGAACCATAAAAGGGCCCTATAATGGCATGCTGTACATTCAGCATAATGTGAGCTCCCTCAAAATTTAACATTAAAAGCCACCTTGAAATTTACTTCAGAGGATAGTCAAAGTTTCATGAGGATTATTATCTAGACATATTCATAACTGGTTTTATGATGATCAAAGCATTTATGGGCTGAGGTAGAGACTAGCTTTGATATTAGAGGTTAACCCTAAGATGCATTTAAGTTCATGCTCACTGTCATCTTCAAGTTTTATGGAACCCATAACTGGCTAAAACTTGGACTTATGCTTAAAAAAGGTGCAACAGTTGAAATACCATTTGAAATGCTGATTGCTGTTTGAAACACCTCTAATTTGGCAAATGTTTATCCACAACGTAGTTCAAATACTATATTTGGTCAGAATTAGCCTTCATCGCACAGCTGAGACACGCACCACTAGCACTACTTGAAACTTTGTTCTCACAGACAGACCTAATCCACTCTCAGTGTCTGAAATAGACAGCTCTGTGCTGATACAAGCAATCATCAGAGAACAGTAGTTGTTGGATACACTGTTTTCCCACAGAAGGTTCTTCCTTCTGCAATTATTCTTCTAATGACCATAATACACATTTTCCCATCCAGATCAATGTTTGCCTAAAAAAGAAACCTGTGCTACAGGAAGGTACCCAAAGCACCAACTTTCCTGCAACAATGAAATAAATTCACTTCCATTTCTGAAATTACTATCCTACTTGTAAGTCTCAGCGTCACCTTCCTATCTCAGCTACAAGAGATTACTATATTATGTTCTCTATGCTATAGAAATGCAACTAAACAAACCTTCAGTCCATGAATTTGAAAGGAGTAATGTAATTTCCATCCTTACTCTTATCTAGTGCTATGCACTAGAATTAGCCAGAGAAATTTAAATGTCAAACTCTTACCTTTATTACATAGTTCATTGGTCCTGGAATATTTTGTTCAATGTCTGCCAAGACCATGGAAGTTCTGGACCTCCTGGGCTGACCGGTAGGTGTGCCACAAGGCAGGACACACACCTTTCCCCGGCATTCTCTTAGAAGTCTGAATGTACCAAGATCAGGACTTGTGTGTGCACACCTCTGAGCTGGCAAACCATGCCAAAGCATCCAGAATGTCCTCCAATTCAGAATGGAAGATTCTGGAAAGGTGGATCCACCCCACCTTTTCCATACACAGAAAACCCAACTGTGTGGGCTTAAGGAAAACCATGACCACGCTTGAACACACAGCGTTGGACAGGCTTGGAGCTTCCAAACTCCAGCCTATAGATCTCATGGTTCTCCAAAAATTCTTGTGTCTGACATGGGCCAGCCTGTAAATTCTTCAGTAGTCACAGACCTTGGGAGACCCCAAAGTGTCCTTTCTGACAAGCACTGACATGGAAGGGTCCTCATTTTAATCACATAAAGAGACCAAGGTATGCTTGTCTTCAGTGTTACCCTGGCTCACTTG